GCTGATGTCTCGCTGTCTCGCAGACCCCACGCAGCAACCAGGAAACGACACCAGTAATCCAGCTCACACTGTCCGCTGCTCGAGCCTCAAATGGCGGAGCAGCGAGCCCCGCAACGTCCCGCCAACGGCATCCAGACCCCACGCAGCATTCTCATCTGCTTGTCATTACTGGTGTCATTTTCTGGTTGCTAACAAACTCCATTGTAAATCATAATCACTGGTGTTCCGCTGTAACGGTGATGGACTCATCAGAACAGAGTGGGCGAGCTGACCAATCAGAGCACAGTGGGCTCACAGGGAGGGCGGGGGCAGGAGCTCCAACAAGCCGCTTAGGACAGAGAGAGAATACACAGACTATACAGAGATGCTGTATGAGAAACCAATGTGAGTTTGGAACATTGAACAATGTAAATCTATTCTAGTAGACCGGTCCTCAACAATGGAATTATGATCAGTAGAAATGGCCATGTCATGGGACCTTTAATGAGGACATTGCATGTTCTTTTTCAAGTAGATATTTGTACTTAGTGTCTCACATGTCTCCTTGCTTTAATGTTCAAAAAGCTCTTTATTTCTCTCATACTGCCTGTGCTGCAGCACCTCTTTTCACCCTCTGTCTGAAACCAGAGCCCAGTCTGCTCTGATCTGTTAGCTGGCCGGCTCTGTTGTGATTGGTCAACCAGCTTAGAGATGTCCCGCCCCTTAGCCTATCACGTAGAATGTGTTGGAGTGCTAGTCAATAGAAGCGCGAGTGGTACATAGTGATGTCATTTTGTTACAGAAGTAAACAAAGGAGTCCAATGGAGGTGTTTCAGGGAACACAGGGATTTTAGCCTTTGCAGACCATTTAAATGCATTGAAATAAATCTAACCATATTGGGTAAAATAATAATAAGCTCTGGAAAAGTTTCAGACAATGACGCAGAAGAAAGTATGATTGATGTAATCCTTTCTTGCTTTTATATTAGATTACGAAAGAAGTAAAAGGCATAGACAAATATTTAGTCACAGATATATTTTAGAGATATTTAAAGGTATAGTATAACCACACACATGATACACAGAATAACACACAAGGATACTCATCGCGCTCCGAACAGGAATAATCATTAATGCTGAGCTCTGTTCTAACTATAATTAATTAACATCTGAAGCGTTGTGAATATTACAACAAATCTGGAGCTCAGTTGTTATGAACATAATTACAACCGCATGACGGCTGAAATAGCATCAGGCGTTCCAGATATTCACAACGTGTGTGATCTAGTGACTGAATTACGGCTATAAGCAGAACAATGTGTGAAAGATGAATGCAATAAGAACAATGTATCATAAGAATCCCCTCACCCGCACTATAGGGAGACACGGGGGAAGATTCAGTTTAAATCTCTTTTTCATAAAAAGGAGAAAATGAATAGCACTGCAGTGTTATGAGTCATCGTGGTGGAAAGCGACCTTTGCAATCAAAACACACACACACACACACACACACACACACACACACACACACACACACACACACACACACACACACACACACACACACACACACACACACACACACACACACACATAGATGTTTTGTTTGAATCTTCTATTTGAGGCAGTGTTCAGACAGAAATAGCCACAGCTTGATACTACCATTCATTGGAAATGGTTATTTCCAGTATATTGGACTGTACTGTGTTGTACTGTAGGCAGGGTTGGGATGGTAACCGTAAAATGCAATCCATTACATGTACTAGTTACCTGTAAAAGTAATAATCAGTGATGTAATCTGATTACTTTTGGATTACCTCTTTATCAAATGCAATTCAGGACTTTGTCTTTCTGTAGCCGAGATTCAGTGTTGGTAATTAACTTGATTCATTTACTTGTGTTTTTAAGTACTTTTTTTTTTGACATATTACTACTTTACTTGAGTATTTGCATTTAATGCTACTTTCAATTTTTAATCCACATCCTCATTTCAGAGGTAAATATACTTTTTTCCAAGCTTTAATGTTCAAAAAGCTCTTTAGTTTTCTCATACTGCCTATGCTGCAGCACCTCTTTTCACCCTCTGTCTGAAACCAGAAACTCCCTCTGGAGGATTTGAGCCTTTGCAGACCATTTACATGCACAAAAACCTATACAACACTACAGGAAAGGGAAACCCCCCAAAAGCATAACATGGCCCCTTGTTGACAGCAGGACTTGTAATGGAGTGTATTACAACCGTTGTGTTTTCAGTTTAATCAAGTAAAGGTTCTGAGTACTTCTTCCAACACGGCGTATATTCAAATACTGTTAATACACTGTATATATATATATTTGCATGTGACTCTCCCCCATTTGATCACTATCACAGATTGTTGTTTTGCTGTCAGCTGATTGGCTGCACATGAGCCTGCTAAGTATTCAGCTGTGGAAATTCTTTACATCAAAAGCCAGTGATACGCTCAGCATCAAGATGAAAGGCACCATCACTTTGAAAAGTGCACACCCTGACCTGCCTAATACATATCATCCATTTTCATTAGAGTCTGAGGGGCTAATGGCTTTAATATACTTTGGTTTGTATCAGACGGTGAAGCCTAAAATGTACAATATCTTAAGTCCATGACTCACCGGTACAATACAAATCGTCCATAGCACCATCTTCCATTATATATGTATCGGTGCATGTAAAGTATAAACTCTTAATGAAAAATAGTGAATATGCTGACCATATCATAGGTTTATTGTAAATATATACTCATTATTCATACCTGTACAAAGTCTGCTGGCCCCATGCAAAACATTTGTATCAAAACTTTATTAAGTAGAACCAGTTCTGGAGTAACATATGCCATGCTTTTGTATTTTAAGGTTGTAACACTCATCATCATTCCAGGCATCCAGATTTCCTCTTTCATGCAAAGAGCTGCACTTCTGCTCCTGCAAGACATTTCCAGAAAGTATCCCAAGTCATGCTCAACCATTTACGGGGAAAGAAAGACAGATTCACAGCTGCACACTTTGCTACAGAGTAAAGGAGTGTGAGCGGGTTTATGGACTTCAGAGGATGTTGACACTGCTCACACTGATGGATGTTAGAGCACATTTTAAAGAAGCTACGGGGATAAAAACATTACATTTACCAACAGTTTTTAGACATGTGAAGGGTTTCGGCAGTGATATCCTTTTCTAACATTTCTGCAAAATGATTTTGAAGGAAAGGGATTTGGTTTGTGACATCATAACATTTGAAATATTTTGGCAGCACCCTTTTTTTCACACACTGTGGATAATGTTCCTCACGGGACAGTTTTAATGGAACAAATAAAAGCTATTGACAGCTTGTTACATGGACTATCCAGAGAAACCACAGATGAATAAGCCTTTTTCACATGACTCAGCAAACACAGTTGTAACTAATCGATGCACGACGGGTGACTTTTCTTGGACTTCTTAAAGGAGAGTCGGAAAAAACAGGCACAGTTAGCAGACACTGTTTTAGAGATTTGACGCTGTTTGTCAAGCAGTACAAATGACATTGCAGGCAGAAATCAAACCGATGAGATTGCATATATTGAAATGTAGTTAAATACAAGCAAAACGATCTTTATGTGACAAGATGTTCTTTGTCATTTGGGTGAACAGAGACTTTTAAAAGCAACTTAACCTGGAAATGTTGTTTCTGCTGACCTCATGTGGTTAGAGACATATAATCAGATGGACAGCGGAGTGACATTGTAACTTAACATTGTCGATAGAATAATTAGTTTCATCCTGATGCTACTCTCTGACGGAGCAGCTGCGACAGAAGCCTACGAAATACACATCAAGCATTCAGGATGACAACTCCTACATTTCACAGCCTTGTCCGTAAAAAATGAGCAAACATTGATTTTGCATCAAAAATGTAGCTTTTACAAACAAGGTAGAAGTAGTAAGAAATCAATGCTGCTGTTTTTAAATGCTGCAAACACTACCAACTACATTTCATTCACCTCCAAGTCACTGGCATGGAGGCAGAAATCAAAGAAATCAGATTGCATATCTTAAAATATGGTGAAATACAACCGAAACTATCATTATGTGACGATACGGTCTTTGTAATTTGGGTTAACAGACCAATGAATAAGTAACTGCTTGCCACATGTTGGTTAAAGCTCTCTCTTTGATGCAGAGAAATGTAATTGAGGTCAATAACATGTATATTTGTTGCCTGATAAGGTCATCTCTAACATATCAGCTGCAACAGAACCCAACGAAATATATATCAAGCATTCAGGGTTAATACTCCGACCTTAAACAACGAGCAAACACAATGGAATTTGCATCAACATACCAAACAAAACCTGAAGAAAGTAGAAGTAGTATGAATCACAGTTCTGTACTCTTCGTACAGTGCGTTATTAGATTCAACTCATTGAAAAGGCATGACCACAAGCTCAGTTAGCTACCTTCAGAAGCCCTTTGTGAAGCAATGACATGTCACTTAGGATTCATATTGAAGCTAACTACATTAAGTAACGCAATGTCAATCTGTTAAGTCCTTAAAGTTGAACAACCAACATATATTTGGGCTACGAGGCGGTTTTTATCAAAGCTCATTTCTTCAGAAAACCCTGTTGCTACGTTCTGCCAAGTATGTTTTCACTAGATAACCCGTTGTTACGACACATTCACCTCTTTCACTACTTATAGATGGAGTGAAGCCTGAGAGCTCAATAAAGCTTGAATGAAAGTGTGTGTTTTGATTAGCATGGTTTGTAAAGTATCGATTTACTGGAGCTATAAATGCTAAAATAAGTTACTTTAATAGATAATATAAGAAAAAGGCAATCGCATGAAGAGAAGAAGGATGAATGGATGATGGGGAAAACATACTGGCTACTTCAAGTTCATAATGTTTCAACATCAAATAATGGGGAAAGTAATAGACACAACTCATCACTGGGAGAATGAAGATTAATAATGCAATTACATCCAGCTACTAACACAAGATTAAACGTAAAAACCATGCAAGCACATGAATGGAAAAAAGGTTTATTGAACTAAATCAGGAATGTAAGTGAACTTGTGGCTGAAATGAATGACAGAACAAAAAAACTGGACCAACAAACACTGCATATGCAAAACCTACGACCTAGTGTCAGTACTAGTGTTCACATTAATCTGTCTACATCATAGTAAAGCAAAACTTAACGAGAATAAAGGGGGGGCCATGAGGAGGTGAAAATCTACGGGGGAGTTTCTATCAGTGCGTCATCGGTTCAGCTGCGACCGAAATCTGCTCCGCGCTCACATAGCAACCGGTTAGACACAGCTTGTTTACAGCAACTCCATGACTAACTTAAAAAATGAAACGTATTAAAAACACCAGCTTGTTCATGTTTTGTTTCTACACAACCCCTGGGTCAAAAAGCTAGGAAAAAAACAAAGTTGCTTGATAATTTGATCTTCTGCCAGTGTATAGATCTGGCTCTGGTTGTTTTGGTTTCTCTTCTTCCTTTCTGTCAGATTGTGTCTGAACTCGCTCACTCCACTTTGCTGTAGTCCTCCGCGTGGCCCAGGACCTTCTTCCTCTGTCGGATCATGTGGAAGTAAAGCTGGGGGAACACTGGGGGAGAGGGGGAGATCAGTCAGTAGGTTATGTTTCCTGTAGATATTTAATTGCTCTTTTTATTGCACTGTTAGTGTACAGTTTGTTTTGCACATTCGATGGAAAATCTTACACTAATGCACATTCTCAAAATATTGAAGTGACTGTCATTTTGTATATATTGATTGTTGTGTTTTTATTTAGGTCTTAATGTGTGCACATGTAAAAATGTGTCTCTGACTGTGTATATATATATATATACACATATTTGCACACATATTTTTATATATATTTGTTTTTATATTCGGGATTGTGGGAAACAGTATTTTGATCTCTCTGTCTGTACACACAAACTGGAAGATTGACAATAAAGTTGACTTTGAGTATTATTATGCTGCTGTTTGTATTGTTGTAACTGGCACAACAATTTCCTTCGGGATAAATACAGTCCTCTCTTATCTTAGGGGACAAAATATTAACACTATGAGATTTTTGGTAAATCATAATCAGTAATGTGGACATACTGACTAATTGTTAAGTGCAAAATGCACTTTTTTATGTCTTGTATACATCAACATGTGTCCCCGGTGTGTCGGGGAACTCACGCAGCGTCAGAAAATAAACCCCTCTCTCTTTTCCTCCGTACCCAAATCTCTAAAAACGGGGAACAACGGAGCTGATCCAGATTTGCGTCCGATATGACGTAATATCTGAAATGTGGACCCACGGCCCAATCAGAAACGTTGCTATCAGAAACAATGCCCGACTGTTTTGGACGTAATATGGTCGGTGTTTACATTAGCATCGCTAACACTCAGAGCTAACCTGTGCTGGAGAGCATGTGTGTGAAGAAGCAGGAAGTAAAAAGGAACTCACCTTGTGGTATAACCGGCAAGAGAGAAAGCCTTTGAGCTCCAAACTGTTTCAGAGAGAATCCTTGATAATCCATGATATGGCATTTCATCACGGCAGCATTTAGTTTAGACGGTAGCTGCCGGGTCCCGCAGCTACTGTCCTCTTTTATTTTGTATAACATCATTTCTTTTTTAAAGCTTTATCCCAAAATCAGCACTTTTGAAACAGGAAGTGAAATAGAGGGATATGAGGCATGGCTAGAATGGGTGATCTGTTCGGTATTTTGAGCAAAACACTTCAAAGATATGTTTTTTATATATATTTATATATCTGAGACCTATGCTATTGCCTAAAATAGCACTTTAAGCTACCAAAAGGCTAGGTGAATTCAACATTACACTAGAAAATAACAGCATCAAGAGAGGAGACACTAATCTGGAATATTTAAACTCAGTGGACTTTTTATTATGTATACATGTACTGTGTAATCTACTGCATGTGATGCTTGTCTCTTATAATTAAGACATACAACTAACTATTCACATGCCCATTCACATTTTTGGATTTATTGTGGGTGTTATTAAAATAAGAAAAATACATATTTTATGCGTGTATCTGTCTCTATATGATATTTATTGGTTTACTTGTTTTTTTAAACCTATTTTAAATTATTTAATATTTTTTAATACTAATATTTGTATATTTCTGTTTAGGTAAATTATCTTTTTACTTTGTTTTCTGTAGAAATGCCTGTGAACTGCATCATTGTGATACTTGTTTAAAAGGACATGTATGTATTTATATGGTTTACTCTATTAAAAGGTCACCCATCATGCTGTTTTAAAAAGGCATATATTATGGGTCTCAGATATATACAAATATATAAAAACATGTCTACGATGTGTTTTGCTCAAAATACAAACAGATCATGCATTTTAGAAATCCCTCATACCCCTCTATTCCAGCCCTGTTAGAAAAAAAAAATGCAGATTTTGGGTCCTTAGCTCAAAAAAAGAAAAAAAGAGGAGGCGGAGCTAATGCCTGATCAGAATTCTACCGGAGATACATTTAAATTCTGCTGTGAAAACGTCATCCTGTTCTAAACCACATCAAGGATTATTTCTGAAACAGTATGGAGCTCAAATCTTGCGGGTTTATCACAAGGTGAGTTCCTTTTTGTATTTCCTGATTTTTAAACACATGTGCTCTCCAGTACAGGTTAGCTCTGAGTGTTAGCGAGGCTTGCTAATGTAAACAAAGACGAGATTACGTCCAAAACACGTCAGGCATTGTTTCTGATAGAAACTTTCTAGGGTCCACCACCTGAAATTACGTCATATCGGCAGCAAATCTGTATCCGCTCGTTGAGTCGTTGTACCTATGGATGTATAATAAGAACTGGATACAGCGTTCATTCCTATGAGAGTTGCTCATTGGCGCATGAAGACAAAATGGCCCAACTTTTGAGAGAGAGCGAAACGTCACGAAAGTATTCATATAATCATATCATCCGTTCTTATTGTGCATCCATGGGTAAAGGTAAAACTCATGTAGTACTGAACACGTCACATGAACGTGCCGGGCGGCGCGGTCCCGTGGGTTAGATGCGCGTTCATAATGCAGAGGGAATAACTCTCAGAATAACGTTATTAGCACATTTTACAACTTGAGGACCGAGTGTTTTTAATAAGGGCTATACAAGTGTTCATACTGGGTAGTTTATTTAGTTTAAAACAATTATCCAACGATTTACAGACGTCTCTTTCCCAATGTTAGTCAATGGGAAAAAGTGTTTCCGGGCCCAGCGACTGATACCGAAGTGCAGTACCGCCGTTTGGCCACAGCGAATATTTTCCTCAGAGTCCGGCACACTTCCTGGGGGCTTGGGGAGAACCAGAAGAAAGGGGGCTTGGTTGTGCCCCCTTTTTAAAAAGATTTGGGTACGGAGGAAAAGAGAAAGGGTTTTATTTTCTGACACACATTTGTGTATAAAAGACGTCAAAAAGTACATTTTGCATGATAGCTCCCCTTTCATTTCTGTGAACTGCGGTTTCATAATTGTTGTAAACAAATGTTTTAGAATAGTTATTATTATTAACTGCTGATATTTGTATATTTTTGTTCAGGTTTAATGTTTTTGAAGATTTGTATGTATTAAGTTGGTTAATATACTAATGTCTGTTAGCTGCATCATTGATATTACTTATTTTATTATATACTTTTTTTCTTGGGGGGTAATTCTTTTTATATGTGTTTTACTTTTTTTGTATCCAATAATGATTATAATTAGATTATTAAAATATTATGAAATACAAATAATGCTAAGTCATAATTACAGGATAAGGGAATCATAATCAAGTCTCAATTTTTTCTCTTCTTCAGTAAATGCCAAACATTTCTGTAAATGTGTGATTACACAAATAATTAATTATATTCATTTAACATTATACCAATTATGGCTCTGGAAAAATCCGCTGGTTGACTTACGGGGGATGTATGAGATCATGACGATGATGAGGAAGCTGTGGTAGTCGAAGGAGAAGTTGTACTTGTTGGGCAGAGTGATGGAGTAAAGTCCCGTCTTCTGAACGAACGGCAGCGCGGCGTAGATCGTCAGCAGCTCGCCCGTCACGCCCATCGGATACAGAGCGAAGAAGAAGGTGTACCTGCACAGAGGGGGCGGAGAAAGAGAATTAAAATCAATCATATTCACTTCTTTTTGCAACTAGAGGTGGTTTAGTTGATGTAAACAGCAATATACTGAGAGATACGGATTTTTACATTTTTCTGCAGAAGCATTTGGTGAAACTTGGTGCATGTTAACAAGCACAGCTCTAAACACACACTTTCCTGCTTAAAAAAAGGGAACTTCATCCATAGTTTGGCTTGTTTCTCTCAGTATTTGTTCGGTTCTTTGTAATACAATAATTTAAAGAGGACATATTCTTCTCGTCTTCAGGTTCTGAAAAACCATCGCAGAGCAGCTCCTTCAAAACAAAGTGTTATTTGTACTCTTGAATTAGCTCGTTAAGTTGAATTAAACCTTAATTTATTTAACTTTGATTTCTCTACTTTAAAGAGTCCTCTCCTGCTGATGTTCAGGTGTATATCAGTATGTAGTGTCTCTACTTTAAAGAGTCCTCTCCTGCTGATGTTCAGGTGTATATCAGTATGTAGTGTCTCTACTTTAAAGAGTCCTCTCCTGCTGATGTTCAGGTGTATATCAGTATGTAGTGTCTCTACTTTAAAGAGTCCTCTCCTGCTGATGTTCAGGTGTATATCAGTATGTAGTGTCTCTACTTTAAAGAGTTCTCTCCTGCTGATGTTCAGGTGTATATCAGTATGTAGTGTCTCTACTTTAAAGAGTCCTCTCCTGCTGATGTTCAGGTGTATATCAGTATGTAGTCTCTCTACTTTAAAGAGTCCTCTCCTGCTGATGTTCAGGTGTATATCAGTATGTAGTGTCTCTACTTTAAAGAGTCCTCTCCTGCTGATGTTCAGGTGTATATCAGTATGTAGTGTCTCTACTTTAAAGAGTCCTCTCCTGCTGATGTTCAGGTGTATATCAGTATGTAGTGTCTCTCCATGTCTCCATGCTTTAATGTTCAAAAAGCTCTTTATTATTCTCATACTGCCTGTGCTGCAGCACCTCTTTTCACCCTCTGTCTGAAACCAGAGCCCAGTCTGCTCTGATTGGTTAGCTGTTTGTTGTTATTTTTGTTCGGAGAAATCTCACCTCATTGTGTCCTTGTTGTCCTTAAAGAAAAAGCCATCAATGGAAGGAGGTGTGAACACCATAACTTTGCATTTAAGTAAAGACATGGTGCCCGTTTGATTTCTTTACAGAGATACATGATAAACGTTATTGCCTTCAAACTCTAAATATATTATTATAATAATCAAGTCATGCTGCTTTCAAGTGAAACATAAAACACCACTGCCTGTGCACACTTCTAAATGTTTAATCATATGACTGTTGCATCAGGCTTTCTGCAGAGAGAGCTCATGTTACATATCGTAGATGCACAAGAATAAGAAGTTCTCTTTCATATAACTGGCTCTCCAAACACAGCGACTGTCTATTTCTGATCCTTCTCTGGATTTTCCACGGATGCTCCATCAATTGTTCTGCCTCCAAGTGTGCGACTCAAGCTGAGTGAGGAATACCAACATAGCGACAGCCTCGTTAGCTACCTAGCAACGGGGAGGGAGGCTCTTAACGACTGTTGCCTTGGCGGAAGATGCAGAAAAACCCCCAGGAGGCACAAAGATGTACGGTCGATTTTTTATGGTGGAAGAACAGCGCAATTGTGTCTTTGCTTTATTGTAACTAAAAGAAAATGTCTAAATAAAGGAGTACTGCCTGTTAAAGTGTGATTGTGATAGCATAACGCTTCCTGTAACAGTGTGACAGTGAAAAACCTTGTAACACAAGTATTGATGCTTGACCCAGCTCTTATGAGATGACCTCATTTAGCAAGATTGTTCAAAGATATTTTTCAAAAGGAGCAATTCAATATAAGTGTCCTTGAACCGACACCTCCTTCAGATAGATTTTAATGGTCTCCAACATGCGAGTGTGTGTCAAGAAATGCAAAACAGTTGCTTGGTCAATGATTTTAAAAGCTGCTCTTCTTCATATAAGTCTTACTATTTGGCAGTTAAACAGTTCATTAAAAGACGTTACCTTGTGCGCATCTCAAGAACATATTTGTGCTTTTTTTCACTACTTTTTTGGCAATTCCTAAACTAAATGCTTAATGGACACATGACTCACTGATGAAAATCATCAATATTGAGCCCTAAAGCTGTATAAACATGTTTGAATATGTCTTTATATAAGGGAATACATTATCAAAAGAATTCTAAACATCTAGAATCTAAAAATGCAAAACAGTTGCTTGGTCAATGATTTTAAAAGTGAGGTTTTGCTGCTTTTGTCTCATTTTATTGTTGGTTTTATATATATATGGATTATGAACTTTTGGGCAGATAAAACAGGTAATTAAAAGGTCACCTTGTGCTCATCCCAAGAATATATTTATGTGCCTTTTTTCACAACTTTTTTGCAATTCATAAACTAAACGCTTAACAAACGACTCTTTGATGAAAATGACGATTATTGAGTCTTAAAACGGTGTAAATATAATAAAATGGTGTCTTTAAATAAGGAATGATCTGATCAAGAAGGTAACACTACTTAGAATCAGTCAGCGTCCTCTTGCCTCTCCATTGACACCCTTGATGGCATCTCTGTTGAGTTTGTCGATACCTACACATATCTGGGCTTTTGGTTGGACAGTAATCTGAACTTCAAACACCACATTGAAGTTCTAACAAATACATTGAAATTCACTCTTGGCTTCCTTTAAGACTTAAATGTTGTTTTTCAACTTCTTCCCGTAAAAGGTTGGTCTCTGGCTTATTCCTGTCCCAGCTGGACTACAGTGATACCATTTATAGATTCGCCTGTCCCACTGTTTTGGCCAAACTTGACCCACTCTACCATGCTGCACTGCGTTATATATCAAATGCACCCTATAGGACTCATCATTGCGAACTGTATAGCCTAACTGGATGGTCCTCACTTACGCTACGTCCACACAGCAGCTTTAAACAAATCTTCCAACGCTTCTCTGCCCATTGACTTTGAATGGGGATGACGTCACTTTGCCTCGCTTTTCGCTGAACTGCGTCGTGGGGGAGCGAAGCGAAGATTTCCAGGATTTTCAGGATTCAAAAGTTGAGCAATGTTCAACTTTTGAAGCTGAGCTGGAAGCGTCAGCCAATCAAATCCCGTTTATGCAAATCTGACAGTACAAGCGCTAGCCAATCAAACCACGTGTAAGCTGGGAGAACCAGACCGCAGTTCATTTCCTCATATTCCAAACGAGAAATTACGGTAGCAAATCACCCGGTTCTTTACGACCAGTAACTATTTACCGGGATACAAACCGGAGGAACCAGGCATGGAGGGAGGTGGCAGAGACAGTGGGTGAAACTGGTAGGTTTTCGCCTGTTTGGGGAGTTTATATATATATATATTGCTCGCATAAAATCCCCGGGGTTTTTTGCTTTGTATGTCGGGGGCGGGAGATTAATGTGATTGGTTGTTGGTCGCGTTGCTCGCAAAAATCCCCAAGCTTTCAGACACGCCCAGCTCCAAGATTTTCAAGATGTTTTCAAAGCTATACGATACGATACGATACGATATACTTTATTGTCCCCGTAAGGAAATTCGTTCTGGGCTCCGTCCAGCAGTTCCGCATACATGTACATAATATACAAACATAGTGGACATTTAAGAGACATACACATATCATCAATCATACACCGTTTGAACAAACACAATACACGCAGACGCACATACTGACAATGGCGACCTATTGCACAACCCTCATGGCCAACATTTTAAAAAAGTACATTTCATTACATTTGACTTCGACTACATTTCATTTCCTGTCAATGTTAAGAAGTTTAACGGACATTGGTAGGAATGAGTGCTTATAGCGGTTCAGCCTGCTCTTGGGAACCCTGAATCTTCTACCAGAAGGTAGGAGCTGGAATTCTGGGTGGAGTATGTGGGTGGGATCAGACACAGCTGCTGTGTGGACGTACCGTTAGTATGCGTAGGATGCAGCATTGGTTTTTATTAATGTATAAAGCCATTTTAGGAAAGCTTCCACTGTATATATGTGCCAGATTTGCCCCAGTTTGTGACTCTCACAGCCTCAGATCCAGTGCCTGGATACGGGTCCAGGTTCCTGCTGTGCGGACTGAGGCTGGGAAAAGGGGTCTTTTTTATTATGGTCCTTGGTCTTGGAATGACCTTCAATCACGCCTCAAACTGAGGGCACTTGTCTCAAAAGCATGTTTTAAATTGAAGTCGTCTGAAGTCCTTACCACCAGCTGCTCTTGCAGTAATAAGTAGTGCACCTTTCTTGCTGTCCTAATGTGCTCAATGTAGTGACTGCAATGTAGAATCTGACTAATACAAGTAATGAGGCTTGACCCAGCTCTCATCAAATGACCTAATTTAGCAAAGATTACAAAAAAAACATGTTTAATTAACACCTCCTTTTCCTAATCTCCACCATGCAAGTGTGTGTAGAAATGCTAAACAATTGCTTGGTCAATGTTTTTAAATGCAGGATTTTGCGTAATTTGTCTCATTTTGTTGTTAATTGTATCTTTCTGGGTGACTAACCTTTTTGAAAGATGTTACCTTGGGCTCATCTCAAGTAAATTGTATTATATTTCACTAATTCATCATCATTGAGCCTTAAAACTATATAAATATGCTAAAATAATGTATTTAAGTAAAGGGAATATCTGATCAAAAAGGTAAAAGAACAAAAAAATCGAACTAATACAAGTGTTGAGGCTTGACCCAGCTCTAATGAAATGACCTAATTTTGCAAAGATCGTTCAAACACATGTTTTCTAGCAGGTGCAATTAAACATAATTGTCCCCCTTCACCTACCTGGCCCATTTGATGAGGTAGGGCAGGTGGTTGAGGAGGCTGAAGGTGTAGAAGGAGTAGCGGATGATCTCTGTGATGGTCCAGGCGGAGACGAACAGCAGCACGCTGTCCTCACTCTGCACCTGCAACGTTAACGCAAAGCATGATGGGAGGAGAACAGACGGGGTTGCATCATGCTGCACGAGTTACTAATGTATGGATTGATAGGTTGATAGGTTGATAGGTAGATAGGTAGATAGGTAGATAGGTAGATAGGTAGATAGGTAGATAGGA